TGCCAGAGACATATGTGTTCCATGTAGATTACTGAAGAGCAAATGGAGCAAACTATTAGAAAAAATGATATGTAGGTTATATCCAATTGTATAACCTTAATTCTTACAAGTTCATTTTCTTAGTGCTATATTAGGAGTGAGTTGCTCTATGTTGTGAACATGCATGTTTATAGACATCTCTAAATCATATTTGTGAATCATGTTATTGCAATCAAAATTAATTTAAGGATTATTGTTACTAAAGTATATGCTAACCGTTAATGCCTAATCATCTTCACTAAATATTGGCCTTGTACAAAAAATCAAGTTTCTACCTGAGACGAATGGAAATTTAGTTGCGTATTTTACTACTACAAATAAGCCACAGGCCATTACTACATTTCTATATTTTGTTACATACTAATCCTGTAATAATGGACAGTAATATTAGCTTTTTTGCATTCTAATGACCAGAGAGGTCATTTTCTGTTTGTTAAGGAGAGAATTAGGCCATTACATTTTAATGCATTTAGTCATTAACACATTTCTGCCTTTACACACGGTGTTTTTGTTTGCTTGATTTTGTGTGTCTGTTTCCCTTTAAGGTTCTATGCTTTCATATCTAGGTTGACTGATTCAATATTTTTCCATTTTTCTGAAATTTATTGACACAAAAAAGATAATCTTCAAATCAAGATAGAACTGGGCTTTCCCTCCTTAACTAGTAAATCTATTCTGCTGATCTCTCTCTCGCAGTTAATGGTATCACCTTCCTTAGAGTTGCTTACTATCAGAAGTACACTTGACTCGCCTTTCTCCCTTCTCTCTCCTTATTCAATCTTCATCAAATAAGGCTGTGATAGACATTATACTACATCAACCATTTTCCTTTTCAGGAATGAAGGACTTATTTCTGTTGCTACTAGGAATAATGCTGGAAAATGACTATTTGGTCAAGCCCTCTTTAGGCATGGCGCCTTGAGAGAAAAAACAAAAAAGCCTCACCCAAGGTCAAACCTCCTTCCACATGTAGTCCACTTTCAATGACTGATCAGCACAGCAGCATAAAGGCCCAGTCCCCTTCTCCTAACTTGGGACAAGTCCAGAGGACCATCCCAGCTTCAGAGGGCCCAGTGAGCTGACAAAAAGCCTTCACTCCGCCTGTCCGGAAACTCAACTTTGCCCTCTGGTCAGTGTGTTTTCTTACCTTTTCCTTTCACAAGTGTTGATCACAACACATTCCCTAATAAATGTCCTATAAACTAATCTCCCATCTCAGAGTCTGATTCCCTGGAAACCCAAGCTGCTACAGCATCATTTTCCATTGTTACTTTTCTTGAAACATCATTTCTGTTTTTTTTAACCCACTATCACTGGCCTAGTTTGGTCTGCCCTTAATGTTCATTTAAGTGGTCAACCTTAACTTTTTGTTCCATGGCCAAAGAGGCATTCAAATTTAAACCTCCACATAGGTACGCCTGAAACATGATTGCAGTTCACTGCAGGCTCCTGTGATAATTCCAGTTCCATCCATTTCTCAAAATTTCTACCTACCAATTAATATGCCATGACACCTACTTTAGTATATGCCACATATGACTCGGTGCCCCATGAAAATCCCCTCTGCAGACAGTTCGCATTCACACCAGTGGTTTGCTATGACTTTTCCAGTGGGAATTCACTGCCATGGGAATCTGCCCTAAGAACAAACTTTAATCATTGAGGGAAAGGAGGTAGAGGATGTTTACCCCAATTTCTTTACCCTTTAGCCTGACAATTCTCTCAGAAAGCTCCCAGTGAGGTTCCCCAGGTCTCAGCAGTAATCTGATATCTAGCTCATTTTCTGACTTTTTCCCTTCAGCATCTTACTTCTCCATTTGGTCAGCGTGCTTCCTGTGATCACCTCTCAAGAAAACTACTTGCAATTAAACTCTTTTCTCAGGGTCTGCTTTTGGGAGAAGGGGCACAAACTAATACTGAGAACTAATCAACCAGAATATTGCTAAAGGCCCCTAAATGATCTCTCAGATCTATCCACCCTCTCTTGTACCTCCTATCCATTTTATATGTTACCTCCAGACTTTTCTTCCTAAAACTCAGTTGACTCATGCCCCTCAGACATCTTCAATGGCTCCAACTGCAGTAAGAAGTAAAACACAACTCTGTCCAGCAAAGTCTGCCTGTTTTTCTAACTGTATGTCACTCTGCATTGGCTACCACAAACACACACTCCAGACACACCCCTCTATTCATTATTTACAGAAAGTAACTTCTCTGTGTTTTCAATAAGGTTGTTTCCTCTGCTAGAATGTGCTCCCCACCGTATCGGCTGATAAATCCCAGTTCATCCTTTGAGGTCCAGATAAACCCATTATCCCCTAAGATGCCCTCTTGGACTCCCACTATTAGGGTTAACGTTTCCCAATATCATGCTCTGCAGTGCCATGTTTAAACTCGTGGTACATCAGTGTGTACCTTGTATTGAGATGACTTATGGATATCTATTTCTATCACCAGATATGAATTCCTAGGAAGCAGGAACCATATGACATCTATCTTTGTATCCAGTGGTAATATTTGAAATAATTATCAAACCTATATTCCAGCTCTGACCAGTCAGGAAGGACACAGGATCCAAGTCCTGAGGCATGTGTTAACACTTTATTTGTTGCTGAATTGTTGGGAAGTCCGGGGGGGGGGCCAAAGGGAGGGGCTGTGGTGGCTAGAGATCAAAAGTTACACCTAAGTGGAGCTCAAACAATTGAGTATTTGCCAACATATGAGGAAAAGCATCTGTGAAAATATTTTAACAAACAGAGCGTAATTCGTTAAAGATCAGCTTTGTTTATAACTACTGTATCTATCAAGACTTTCCAAATTATAGGCCTTTTGTAAATAACTTTATATAATTGAGGACAGAACTGAAAATGTGCACAAAGTTTTTTCTTTTTAAGACGGATGATATACGATATACATAACCAGCACAAATAGGAACGTTCTCATATATGTATGAAAATTTTAGTCTAGTTTTCTTTATATTACAACAGATTAACAACTGTTCAGAAGCAATTACATTTACACTGCTTAAAATATTGTAGCAGCCTTCCAACAGTAATATCAATAAAAATGGACTTTGCCTTCTTTACAGGCTCAGCTTGTCCAAATCATAACGGCAACATTAATTCAAATTTAAGGGACCGCCCTGGGAAGAACAATCATGAACATGTCTTGCAAATATTTTTCAAAATTATGAAGCCTGCAAAAGCTCTTGTGTAGCCAGCAATATTTACCAATTCATCCTCACCTAACGATGTATCCTGAGTTGCCTTTAAGTTCCCCAAATTTCTTCTAAAGTCCTTCAAATCAGCATGCTAAGAGTGCTTATCTGATCAGTGAAAATACGTTTTGAAGTTTTATGGTCTCAGAAATGCTGCCAAAATCAACAAAAATGACTATACAAAGGTAAGATATATTAAATCTGATTATTTAATTCTTCTTAGCTCCCTTTCTATAACTTTAAGAGTCTGATTCATGGATCAGCAGCTCTGTTTTGCTTAAAGGAGTCATAAACACTCCTAATTCAACAATGTTCTACCGTTTGAAGTTCCTCTTACGTTCCTTCTCACACACAGCAGACCTCATTGCCTTTTATAGAACAGGAAACTCAGATTTATTACTTATATAAAAAATAATAATGGCAATTTTGAATCACTTGCTACTCTTTACAAAAGACTAGTTAAAATTCCAGAACTAAGGAACATTAGGATTGTCATTTGATGATTAAAATGAAAACTGAAATTTACATTTCTATCCTGTGAATTACATTAAAAATGGCAAAAAATATGCTACTTTATTGAAATGCCTGGAATAAGCTCACTCTAGTTCAAAATCTACCTATCACATGGAGAAATGTTAACAGGCTTTGTAAAGCCAAATGTCTGAAAAGTGACAGGAAGATTTCACAAGATGCTAACAGCTATGACTATGGTGACATTTGAGGTCAAGCCAACTAGAAGTAGAGAGTGGGGATGGGCGGGTTGGCTCTTCACCCATAGCGTATTCTATTACAGTGGTGGTAACTGGATCACTGTGGTTGCCATTCTGAAATTTCCCTTCTGCTTGTTAACAGCACTGGCATTCAGCCTACTCTCTATGTACTTTCTTATTTGGAGCAGCTCTCTACACCTCCTATGCTAGGTACAGACCTTTTCCTAAAACATTCTTTGTTGAGGCAAGCAAGGATGAGGGGCTAGTACTTCCAGGCAGTACAAGATTGCTACTGGCTGTATGCTTTCTACATTTTTAAATTGTATCCATTTACCAACATTTTAATAATTTCCTCAGCAGGATCTAACCACCATGGGACACTGAATTCTCTCCCGAATAGAACAATTATTCCTTTGATGAATTACAGTCCCTCAGTTCATCCCTGTTAGTCTTCTACACCTCTCACCTCCTCTCTCATCAAAAGTTTTGTAGGAATATCCCTCACTCCCATTCCCAAGCAAGCAATTCTTTTCAGGGACCATCAGGCAATTTGCATAAATGAATGTTTTACTAGAGAGAAACAAAGAAAACTTCACATATACCAAAGCCTTTAACTTATTTTTCATGTTCAATTAAGTATATGTACATGTTTTTATAATACCTAGTCCTATAAAGAGATATTCTCATAGGACACTGTCTAGCTCATAAATTGATATAACTATTTGAAAGTGTTTACCACAATTTTAAATGTAAATGGCTTAACTAAATATTTCTACTTCCAGGAATTTGCCCCACAAATAAATATAAAAAATGGACAAGAGAGTATAGCACTATAGACATAAAATGTATGCCCCAAAGCTCTGATTATTCAGAAAGGTAATGACTGAAATAGAAAACTAAATTTCCCTCTGGGTTATTTATTAGAAAGGGGAAATTTAAGTTACTTTTTTTTTTTAAGTTACTTTTTAATTTATTCTCATCACGCATCTTTCACAGTATGGTAGTTAATAATATCTCATTAACAATTTTGTTACCTTTGAATACACCACGTTTCCAAGGGCATACGTGTAGAATATAGGGTATTGCGTTATCAGCGTCTATGGTGATGTGTAGGCAGGCGGACTCTCAACCATTGCACCACCAGGGAAGCCCTCCAGCTTTCTTTTGGTTTCCATTTACATGGAATATCTTTTTCTATCCCCTTACTTTCAGTTTGTATGTGTCTCTAGGACTGAAGGGGGTCTCTTGTAGATAGCATATAAATGGGTCTTGTTTTGTATCCATTCAGCCAACCTGTGTCTTTTGGTGGGAGCATTTAGTCCATTTACATTTAAGGTAATTATCGATATGTATGTTCCTATTCCCATTTTCTTAATTGTTTCGGGTTCGTTATTGTAGGTCTTTTCCTTCTCTTGTGTTTCTTGCCTAGAGAAGTTCCTTTACCATTTGTTGTAAAGCTGGTTTGGTGGTGCTGAACTCTCTCAGCATTTGCTTGTCTGTAAAGGTTTTAATCTCTCCATCAAATCTGAATGAGATCCTTGCTGGGTAGAGTAATCTTGGTTGCAGGTTTTTCCCCTTCATCACTTTAAATATGTCCTGCCAGTCCCTTCTGGCTTGCAGAGGTTCTGCTGAAAGATCAGCTGTTAACCTTATGGGGATTCCCTTGTGTGTTATTTGTTGTTTTTCCCTTGCTGCTTTTAATATGTTTTCTTTGTATTTAATTTTTGAAAGTTTGATTAATATGTGTCTTGGCGTGTTTCTCCTTGGATTTATCCTGTATGGGACTCTCTGTGCTTCCTGGACTTGATTAACTATTTCCTTTCCCATATTAGGGAAGTTTTCAACTATAATCTCTTCAAATATTTTCTCAGTCCCTTTCTTTTTCTCTTCTTCTTCTGGGACCCCTATAATTCGAGTGTTGGTGCGTTTAATGTTGTCCCAGAGGTCTCTGAGACTGTCCTCAGTTCTTTTCATTCTTTTTTCTTTATTCTGCTCTGCAGTAGTTAATTCCACTATTTTATCTTCCAGGTCACTTATCCGTTCTTCTGCCTCAGTTATTCTGCTATTGATCCCATCTAGAGTATTTTTAATTTCATATACTGTGTTGTTCATCACTGTTTGTTTGCTCTTTAGTTCTTCCAGGTCCTTGTCAAACGTTTCTTGTATTTTCTCCATTCTGTTTCCAAGATTTTGGATCATCTTTACTATCATTATTCTGAATTCTTTTTCAGGTAGACTGCCTATTTCCTCTTCACTTGTTAGGTCTGGTGGATTTTTGCCTTGCTCCTTCATCTGCTGTGTGTTTTGCTGTCTTCTCATTTTGCTTATCTTACTGTGTTTGGGGTCTCCTTTTTGCAGGCTGCAGGTTCGTAGTTCCTGTTGTTTTTGGTGTCTGTCCCCAGTGGCTAAGGTTGGTTCAGTGGGTTGTGTAGGTTTCCTGGTGGAGGGGACTAGTGCCTGTGTTCTGGTGGATGAAGCTGGATCTTGTCTTTCTGGTGGGCAGGTCCATGTCTGGTGGTGTGTTTTGGGGTCTCTGTGGACTTATTATGATTTTAGGCAGCCTCTCTGTTAATGGGTGGGGTTGTGTTCCTGTCTCGCTAGTTGTTTGGCACAGGGTGTCCAGCACGGTAGCTTGCTGGTCGTTGAGTGAAGCTGAGTCTTGGTGTTGAGATGGAGATCTCTGGGAGATTTTTGCCATTTGATATTATGTGGAGCTGGGAGGTCTCTTTTGGACCAGTCTCCTGAAGTTGGCTCTCCCTCCTCAGAGGCACAGCACTGACTCCTGGCTGAAGCACCAAGAGCCTTTCATCCACATGGCTCAGAATAAAAGGGAGAAAAAGTAGAAAGAAAGAAAAAAAGGAGGGAGGGAGGGAGGGAGGAAGGAGCGAAGGAAGGAAAGAAAGAAAGAAGATCAAATAAAGTAAGATAAAATAAAATAAAGTTACTAAAATAAAAAAATAATTATTAAAAAAACAAAAATGGATGGATAGAACCCTAGGACAGATGGTGAAAGCAAAGCTATACAGACAAAATCTTACACAGAAGCATACACATACACACTCACAAAAAGAGGAAAAGGGAAAAAAATCATAAATATTGCTCTCAAAGTCCACGTCTTCAATTTGGGATGATTCGTTCTCTATTCAGGTATTCCACAGACGCAGGGTACAGCAAGCTGATTGTGGAGCTTTAATCCGCTGCTTCTGAGGCTGCTGGGAGAGATTTCCCTTTCTCTTCTTTGTTCTCACAGCTCCCCGGGCTCAGCTTTGGATTTGGCCCCGCCTCTGCGTGTAGGTGGCCGGAGGGCGTCTGTTCTTCGCTCAGACAGGACGGGGTTAAAGGAGCAGCTGCTTAGGGGGCTGTGGTTCACTCAGGCCAGGGGGAGGGAGGGGTACGGAGTGCGGGGCGGCATGACGTTGCACCTGCCTGAGGCGCGCCGTGCGTTCTCCTGGGGAAGTTGTCCCTGCATCCCGTGACCCTGGCAGTGGCGGGCTGCACAAGCTCCCCTGAAGGGGGGTGTGGATAGTGACCTGTGCTTGCACACAGGCTTCTTAGTGGCGGCAGCAGCAGCCTTAACGTCTCATGCCCGTCTCTGGGGTCCAGCGCTTTTAGCCGCGGCTCGCGCCCGTCTCTGGAGCTCCTTTAAGCAGCACTCGTAATCCCCTCTCCTTGCGCACCAGGAAGCAAAGAGGGAAGAAAAAGTCTCTTGCCTCTTCGGCAGGTCCAGACTTTTCCCCGGACTCCCTCCCGGCTAGCCATGGTGCACTAACCCCCTGCAGTCTGTGTTCACGCCGCCAACCCGTCCTCTCCCTGCGCTCCGACCAAAGCCAGAGCCTCAGCTCGCAGCCCCGGCTGCCCCAGCGGGTGAGCAGACAAGCCTCTCGGGCTGGTGAGTGCTGGTTGGCACCGATCCTCTGTGCGGGAATCTCTCCGCTTTGCCCTCCGCACCCCTGTTGCTGTGCTCTCCTCCGCGGCTCCGAAGCTTCCCCCCTCTGCCACCCGCAGTCTCCGCCCGCGAAGGGGCTTCCTTGCTCGTGGGGTGGGGTGTTGCTAGAGAGCTACGAGAAAGGTCAAGTTGTGACAATGTGCTGGGGATGAGAATTGTGAGGAGAGCCATACTCAGTCTGCCTCTTCCTTTCTTTGCAAGGTTACAGTTTTCATAGCTACTGTGATTGCAAGATTGCAGAGCTGAGGAGAGGGGCATAGAAATGGGTCAAGTCAAAATGTCACAAATCACCCTGCTCTTACCAGGATTCAGAGTTTTTCTTGAGTAAATACTCCTCAGATTGTTTGAAATCTTTGTTTAATTTCAAGATTTAAAAGTTTTGACAAGTTTTGTCAGTGTTTTTATTGCTTTTAAGGAGGAACAGATTTATGAAACCCCTTGCTCCACCATTTTGGAAGTCCCAGGTCTCCTGTTTTCTTTATTGCATAACTATTTCCTACTCCTTGGTCACTTTGATAAAATGCCATAGCCTTTTACCTGTATCTCAATTATATTCTCTGATTTTTTTATATTCTCTTTCTTGTTAGGGAAGTCTCAACCTTCTATTGCAAACTATTCTTGTAGCAATGAGATTAAACATATGTTAAAAGGCTTTTTTAAAAAAATACAAAGTATCATAAAAATCAATACTAACAGCAATGAAAAACAGAACAAGGAAAAGACATGAAAAGAATATAGTGAGTCTGAGTTGTCAGCAGACTGTCAAAGTGCAGGTGTACAGCAAGCAGTCAAAAATGAGGGGCTGAAGCTAATACATCTTGAGTAAAAGTATGAATTTGGCATTTGTAACCAGTTGATAGTTTGAAGCCAAGAAACTGCCAAGTGGGATGTTGTACAGACATAAGAATGCTTTAGAAGGTGGAAACTTGAAAAGAAATGAGAAGGCTAGAGGAATAAAAGGACCAGATAAGTAACAATCCAGAAATAGCATGGAAATGAGGACTATAGAATGATGTAAAATAAAGGGTGAAGAGTGTTAAGAAGGCAGACAGACAGTGCCAAACATTATAGGAGTTTTGAGGCAGATAACTTGGGAAAAGAACTAATTTTTCTTGACCAAAAGTTATGGGTGATCTTTGTGGCAGAAGTTTCAACAGAGTAGAGGAGATACAAATGGATCACCATGAAATAAGAAGTGATCATGTAAATATTGCTTTTTCAAGAAGTTTAGCAATCATGGAAAATATAGAGGGTAATAGTTGAAAGGCTATTGTTAGAGACAAGTTTTATCTTATAATGGAAAATCTTTGAGAATATTTATAGATTAAGAAAAATAATCCAACAATGAGGAAGGTATTGAAAGAGAGAGAAAGAGAGAGAGGGGTGAAAAGAATGAGAATCAGCCTTGAGTGCCCAGAGGCCAACTTCATTTTACACATGGAAGAATGAAGATGGAGAATCAGAAGCATTTCAGTAGTCTCAAAGGGAGTGCAAGATGAATCCTGACACTATAAAGCAAAGTTTCTCAGTCTAGCCTTTCTCCTTAGCAGCACCTCAGTTGTTTCTCAATAGAATTTCCATTGAAATACCAGCAATAAACTAAATATTATGAATGAAAAGAAAGGGCAAATTGGTAATGCTCATTAGTATATGCTGATTAAAAATAATGGTGATTTTCAAATTAAGAAAGGTGATACTTTATTCATAATATCTCTAGGGACAAATGTTTCTTCGGTCTTAAACATGTTTCTGTTCTTTTATAATTGTTGGTGCTATTTAGATATAGAAATATAGAAGAACTGGAATACAAGAACAGTATTATTAATATCTTAATGAAATGACATTTAATTAATTTAATATGTAGTATCTTTAATTACAGAAAGGGCCTCACTGAAAACTTACACTCTAAAGGTAAAATTAACTAGATTCTTCAGTTTTATTTGTGTATTGAAACCATATAAATATAGACTTTGATTATTTCCTGTAAGTACAATTCTGCTATGAATAGAATTCCACTTCTACATTTAATTAGAAAAATATAGTTAATATAGCATAATTATTATTTTTAAAGGCCTACATTTTTTAAAAAATGCATTCATTCTGAAGAATAAAAGTTTTAAAAAGCTACAGACATCACCTCTGCCAAAACAACAAAATGAAATAACCAATGTTAAGAAATTAAGCAATTTTTTCTTTAACCTGTTTTCATCAAACTCATAAGACAGGATTTCTTGCTCACCAGAAAATTCTGGAAGGGGAAAGGGAGTGATGGAAAAATGATTTTTTCCTTAGTTATAGCAAGTGCAAGTAGTCATGCTCTTTTCTTTTCTTTTCTTTCCTTCCTTCTTTCCCTCCTTCCTTCCTTCCTTTCTTCCTTCCATTTGAAAAGCCATCCATTATGTTTGTATCCGTTCATTAAACAAATCTTCCTTGAAAACCTATTATGTGCTTGATACTATGATTTATGCTAAGTACAAAAGTATGGATACGAGGGGCATGCCCCTTTTCTCACAGTTCATAATCTGGTGGAGAAGAATAATCTGGTGGAGAACAGGTAATAGCAATAGGATGTAATGTACATGATGGTGGGAAAAGTAAAAAAAAAAATGCTGTGGAAGCACATGAAAGGCATCTAATCCAGGTTTATGGGGATGTAGAAGAAGTCTTGGAAAAGTGGCATCTAAGCTTTGTCATAAAGAATGAAAAGGAGTTAGACATACACAGAGAAGTGGAAGATAGGGAATTGGATAGAGACTTCCAGGCAGTAGTAAAAGGAAATACTATATACAATGGCCTAAGTGTGGCTGGAGCCAGGAGTGCTAAGAGAGAAAGCTGAGCAGATAGGCTTTTGAAACACGTGAAAGCCACTTCAGGGAGCCTGGACTCAATCCTGAAGGCAAGAGATGACAGTGAAGAGTTTTAGCAGGGGAGTGGGAAGATGAGATTTTCATTCATAATATTCACTCTATTTGCAATCCAGTAAGGAAAGCAGAAGAAAATCAATGCACATATTTTTCAAGATTACCAAAAAAAGCAGAGGACAAACCCAGAGAATTTCTAAACTTCTGATGTACCCTCTAAAACTAGATTCAGGCATCTATGATGGACAGATATTTGAAGCTTCTTTGAGGATTCTATTGGGCACATAATTTTTAGATAAATATGGGAGTGGGGAGTAGAAAAATTTATTTTCAGATTTGCTTAAACAAATCAAGTGAGGAGGGCCAAGTACAAAACCTCATAAAAAATAAAGATGTAACTAATTATGCATTTCTTCACATTCCCACTATTATTCACACTGGTAAATGATAGGATACACTTTTGAAATTTCATGCCTGCAGATATCACATTACAATTTTAAAAGCTGTTTAAAAGTTTTTAAAAAAATATCTTTCATTGTCATGTACAATTTCTTCAAGTGAAAATACACATGACTCAAATAAGTAAATTTTAATGTGTTTTATGATTATATACTAATATTTAGATATAAAACTTGTTTGGTGCTAATTCAACTTTATAATCAAAATGGCATTTTAAAAGCTGCTGGACTAATAGGAGAATTCTAACCATCTCCTTATGTCACACTGCTTCACCTAGTTAAGTAAAATTAAATGTTTTAAAATATCATATAATTCAATATACTCCTTCTGAAAACACTTTCATACCAAAAGAAAAAAAAACAAACCAAAATCTTACCTTAAATGTTAGGATGCTTGTTGTATAATTGGGCATCATTATGGGTTTATTTGTTATCTCCCCCACTTGACAGTCTATGGTGATGTGTTCCAAGGCCAGCGGTCTTTTTCCAATCCCTTTTATGTCAAAGATATGCTCCATACTATCTACTTCATTTTGTAGAGTAAGTTTGCCCTGTGACAAATCAGCCAAATTTCAGCTCTATAGGAGCGACAGTTGGATGCCAACCATCTCTTCTATTTTAGTAATCTTGAATCTGATCGATGAAATGAGCTTTCAAGGAGGTGCTAGTCATTAGCTTTTCCAGTTTATATATAAATACTTCTACTGAACAAATAAAGATGAATTTCCTGTGAAAAGCTCTTCATTTCTTTTCACTTTCTCTAAGTGACAGTTTAATAGGCATTCTCATACATAGCAATTATATGCCTGTTTACATCCTTGTCAAAGAAATATGACTTAAGAAAATATTTTCTGAAGTACAAACTTCCTTACTGAATACAAAAAAAGCAATGATTTTACTTTGTTAAACATATTATGTAAAAATAATCTAGACATAAATATTGACAGCCTATGACATTGTGACTTTCAGAATATTTATCCCTCAAGTTACAACATTTATTAAAGTTTCAAGCAGAGTGAACACTAATGATCAAATTCATGGAAAATATAACTTTTTAAAAGAATTTTTTTTAGTTTAATTTTATTTTTTTTATACAGCAGGTTTTTATTAGTTACCCATTTCATACATATTAGTGTATATATGTCAATCCCAACCAATCTCCCAATTCATCACACCACCACCCCACACCCCCCAGAAAATATAACTTTTCTGCAAGAAAATTTATCACAAATTATATATGTTAACACCACACATTGGTTTATCGACATATTAAAGCTAGGGAAAAAAAATCAATGAGTTCATACCATAATCTCACATTCCAAAATAGGTTTGAATGTGAGAGGATAATTCACAGTCTCACTTGGTCCAACATGTAAAACAGGAGGTCCATAAAACCATTCTCCTTCTATAGTAACTTGACATTTCCATTCATTCTTTGTTTTATTATTCTAAAGCATGAAAATAAAGACAGAAAAATATCAGATAGAAAAATATCAGTGTAAAAAATTCAAAATTCCTTACAATTATATTACCTTCCTTGATGCTATTATCACCCACTAATAGCCAAGCTACAGCCAATCACTGTTCTTAGTGCCTATGAGCACATCTTAATCAAGTGTTAAGATCACAACTGAATGTGGAGCAGAGTGATCTGAGAGACCATGACTCTGCTTGGTTTGATGATAGGTTAAGGAAGTTAGAATTAATTTTTTAAGCAAAGAGATCCAGCAGGAGTGATTAATCAGGTGAGTAATATGATAACATTTATATTCGGGAATAAAACTGTGACATCAATATGGAGAAACAAATGGCCACACATAATGCAATTAGGAATTGGTAAGAGTTCAGATGAAAGGTTTGAAGGACTTTAATTGAGACAGTGGCAGTGGGAATGAAGAAAAGTACGAAAAAAAAAGTCTGTACTTACTATTGGAATATTCTGGGTAAGGGCTTCAAATGCTGGTGTTTCAAAATCAAATCTGGCCTCTGGACGTTCTTCATTTACCGCACCTTCAACGCAATAGACATGCACATCATACCTTGATGTCAACAAGATTTTACAAGGGTAGCGTCCAGGACTGAGAGGAACAAATCGTAAAGGAACTGGAACAGATCCATCTGTAACTATCAAAACAATTAAAAAATGGTTTAATCATTTTTGATGGTATAAATCCTAAGATTCATTTTCAGGTACAGCAATATTTTTTTTTTTTGGATTTAATTGTATTATATAATCCAGAAGAGACTAGGTTATAGCAAGGTAACACATTACCCCTCAGTCTCCTGGGCATTACAAGCAAGTTTATTTTTTATTAATGACAAAATATATCCTGCATAGGTCAGAGGAAGGTTTGCTCCATAAAGCCACTGAGGGACCCAGGCACACCACTCCTTCTTCGTTTACAGGTCGGGGAAGAATAACTGAAAGTTTGCTCAAGGGCTTTTTAGTGCTCAGCCCAAAGTTAACACACATCACAGTTAATTGGTCAGACTCAACCACAGGGTTCTTTCTCAGCTGACAGGGGCTGAGAACTGAGAGATATATGGAATATTTGGCAAGCAATATTATCTGCCACATTTCTATGACATAGAAATGCTCTGTCCCATAGCAATCAAAATAAGTTGCAACTTGACCAGCAGATAGAAATAATTTTTCATAGTTAATAACCAAGGGAAGCCAAAAGAGGCATGTCCAATGAATACTTCTCATATCACCTTGTTATACCATATACCTTAAGTTAATAGCTAATATCATTTCTTATGGTGGGCAGGCTGTCTATGCTGGTCCTTTCCTTCCAAGCAATACTACTTTTTCTCTGAAGGTCACCATTTTCTTACTCTCCAGGAAATGAGAAAATAGTTATAAAAATCTCTCAACCCTAAAGTAGGATGCAGTATAATACTATAATACAAATTTCACTGCTAAAGCCAAAGTATTTAAGTTATAGATGAGAAACAAGTGTTAAAAAATGTTTAGAAGCCTAACTCTGTTCTAGGAAATTCTCCAAAACCAAGAAGACAAATCAAGCTTATCAACCAATGGATAAGACAAGTATTATGACATTAATTGGCTATAATTTTAATTCACTCACATTTAACACCTCGAATGTTAAAAATGGCAAACTTGTTTTCAAATACACTGAAGTCTATATGCCAAGAAGACCAGTCATTCTTGGAAGAACATTAACTGTTTTAAATCATTTTTAAAACATATTGAAGATGTGTATGTATGTGTTATATGTTCTGTGTTACACATTTTAAAAATATATTCATCATATATTATATAGAATGTGTTATGTGTTGTATATGTCATATATTATGTATAATGTCGTAGTTATATGTTAAAAAAACACTGACAGTGGATCACATTTGAAATCTATATTACATCTAACCAAAGTCCAAGATTCTCAGCTGGTCTAAGGAGGAAACAAAGGCTGTCAGAATGTTGTAATTTTTATTTCGTCCTTTTCAAGTACAAATCTAATTTTAGAATAATTTTTTTTTTCCTGTCAAAAAGGACTCCAGGCACATTTTATCATCTGTTGTTCACTGATTACTTTCATTCTGAGAAAAGTATTTGAATTGTGGCAACACCATTAGAACAAAACAGGTGAGATAATTATTTGATTAAAATTTGTTGCTTTATTATCAGAAAGGAAGAAACCACATTTCTCTCTTGCATGAACAGATTGAAATGAAAATACTTAGATTAGGTAATTTAAATAAAATTAAACTTCTTAGAATACGAAATTTAATCAACTTAACAGTAATTTTTTTAACATCTTTATTGGAGTATAATTGCTTTACAACAGTAATTATTATTTTCATCATCAATAAAGAATAACTCTATTTCATGGTAAACAATAATTGAAATGCACAAACTCAAGTATAAAGCTTCTATCAAAAGCTTTATGTTATACACTATTTCCTTTTCCCTAAAAATATGCACTTCCTATTGATACTAAGTCTGAAAGTGAAAGCCAAGGACATTCTTCAGTGTACATTTTCCAACTCATGAAATGTTCCTGAGCAAAGACCCTAAGAAATAAGCCATGCAAGCCCCTCTCCCTTACAAGTCCAAAAAGAAATTCATCATAATAGTGGAATTCATGGAAATGATGGTTTTGTTGAAGATATATTGATAAAACAATATTTGTTTTACTTAAACATCTGAAATAATTTAATTAATTCATGCTAGACAAAAAGAGTAGGAATATTATCATATATTACCAACATGAAGCTACTTGTGGATTAAGGTATTCATCACACAGTATCCGCATCACCTTAGATGTAAAATAGCAGAGGTAGAGACTTTTCATATTTAGAAACTTGGAAATTTTCCTGGCCACACTGTGCCACCTTAACATCATTCTCCTTTAAGGACATGTTTTCTCAAAGTCTTTTCCAATTCTGCTCTGTAGCAGATGTCATCCATGCCCTGCCACGTCCCCTTAGCATTTAATCCTCCCTGCGGGCCAATGGCTTTATGGAAAACAGCTCCTTTCTCCTTGAGGGCTTCCTCTAGTCATAGGAAGGTGCTTAACCCTCGCATGGATCAGGCCAGAAGTGACAGTTAATGCCTGCAGTTGCAGTCCTCAACAAATAATGTATCAAACTGGTGGAAAAATAACCCAGCTTCTTTATCCTTGGGTTGGAATAACTCTGAGGTGAATTCTACACCAACTCACAGAGATTCCCCAGTGCAACTGAGCCCCAATTGCTCCCAGTGGCAACTGCTCATTAACACTCCCTGAATTGGCTTCCTCTCTTTACTGTCTCTCACTCTCTCACACTTCTACCTACGGTTCCTGAGATCACTTCTCAAACTACTTGCTCTCAAGACCTGGTCTCAGGGTCTGCTGTTGGGGATCCCCAACCTAACACATACCCTTAGACCAAGGAAAGAGAGCTTGCTGTCCTGGGCCTCATGCTTTCTAGAACCTTACTCTGAATCTCCTGTCATTGTCTCTCTGCATATGCAAGGAGGACATGGGCCCACTGGGACAGGCCTATGTTGAGAGCCCAGCCCCACCCTTGTTCCAAGTTCATGGGATGTCACAATTCACAATCCAAAGTGCTTTGATCCCATTTCCAGTGCCTGCACAGAACTCTTCCCTATGTCAGTCCCCCTGTTGGAATACTCTTAGAATGGAAGAATTCTGAGTTAGAATAGCCACCTCTAACTAAGAGGTGGCTATTAACGGGAAGATGTCAACCAAGATTAATTATGTGGGCTGAGGTTCCTACAAATTTGTACACAATCCCTCTTACAATACATGCTAGATGTGAAGGAAAAAAAGAGAATGGGGTGGGCACATGCCCAGGGCCCAGCTATCCTGTGTTTTCATGTTCTAGTGCAAAACTCTGAGGAGGCCAAGAATTCTAAATTCAACTTTGGTCTTCTAGGTTGGTATAAAGCTTTATTTCTCAAGGTGGAAAAATAGACTATATTCTATTTAAAAATTTGTTAGTTTGATTTACCACTTTTAAAATTTAGATATATGGTATATGGGCTTCCCTTTGTACTTTTGACCTGGGCATTACAAAAGTCAGGGACAATCTGGACCTGTCCCTTCCATCCTTACTCTACTAGATGTAGCTCACCTGGGGCCTTTTCTTTACAGGTGATCCTAGTAACTATGGGAGTTGCTAGGGTTCTGTAATTAAAGATAACCAAAGATATGTAAATTTACCAGATTATAGTTACTAAAGAAAATAAAGGAACATAAACAGAGAATCTCTCTAATGAAAAAATACTTAATTTTATATAACTTTAGCTACTGGAAGAAGTCAGTGTGACCTACCGTTTTTAAAATAACCAATAAAAATGGGCATCCAGCACATATGACCTAACAATCCCACTCCTGGGTATATATCTGGAGAAAACTCTAATTTGATACATGCACCCCAATGTTCATAGCAGCACTACTTACAATAGCCAAGACATGGAAGCAACCTAACTGTCCATCGACAGATGAATGGATAAAGAAGATGTAGTATATGTATACAATGGAATACTACTCAGCCATAAAAAAGAATGAAATAATGCCATTTGCAGCAACATGGATGGACCTAGAGATTATCATACTTAGTGAAGTAAGTCAGAGAAAGACAAATATCATATGATATCACTTATATGTGGAATCTAAAAAAAATGATACAAGTGAACTTATTTACAAAACATAAACAGACTCACAGACATAGAAAACAAACTTCTGGTTACCAAAAGGGAAATGTGGGGGAGGGATAAATTAGGAGTTTGGGATTAGCAGATACAAACTACTATACATAAAACTACTATACATAAAATAAATAAGCAACAAGGTCCTACTGTATAGCACAGGGAATTATATTCAGTATCTTGTAATCTTTTCAATGGAACAGGATAGAAAGCCCAGAGATAAACCCACGCACGTACGGTCACCTTATTTTTGATAAAGGAGGCAGGAATGTACAGTGGAGAAAGGACAGCCTCTTCAATAAGTGGTGCTGGGAAAACTGGACAGGTACATGTAAAAGTATGAGATTAGATCACTCCCTAACACCATACACAAAAATAAGCTCAAAATGGATTAAAGACCTAAATGTAAGGCCAGAAACTATGAAACTCTTAGAGGAAAACATAGGCAGAACACTCTATGACATAAATCACAGCAAGATCCTTTTTGACCCACCTCCTAGAGAAATGGAAATAAATACAAAAATAAACAAATGGGACCTAATGAAACTTCAAGGCTTTTGCACAGCAAAGGAAACCATAAACAAGACCAAAAGACAACCCTCAGAATAGGAGAAAATATTTGCAAATGAAGCAACTGTCAAAGGATTAATCTCCAAAATTTATAAGCAGCTCATGCAGCTCAATAACAAAAAAACAAACAACCCAATCTAAAAATGGGCAGAAGACCTAAATAGACATTTCTCCAAAGAAGATATACAGACTGCCAACAAACACATGAAAGAATGCTCAACATCATTAACCGTTAGAGAAATGCAAATCAAAACTACAATGAGATATCATCTCACACCAGTCAGAATGGCCATCATCAAAAAATCTAGAAACAATTAATGCTGGAGAGGGTGTGGAGGAAAGGGAACACTCTTGCACTGCTGGTGGGAATGTG